ATCTCAACCATGGTTTACCATGGACTATCATGGTTGGCTATCACATGCAATGGTCAGGGATGATCTCAACCATGGTTTACCATGGACTATCATGGTTGGCTATCACATGCAATGGTCAGGGATGATCTCAACCATGGTTTGCCATGGACTATCATGGTTGGCTATCATATAAAATGTTAACCTCAACCATGGTTAGCTGTGATCTGAAAGCAACACATGGTTCATGACAATTCAGGAACAAGTCATTGAAAATGACACAGTCCCCGTTAAATTAAGTTGTCTTTGTGCTTGTCATATTAAAGCGGGGGTGGGGTGGGGTGGGGGGGGTTGTCACGAGCGTGTCCTTGAATTCCAAGTGGCGTATACAACAGATTGTTTATTTACATTAAAACAGGTGTAGTTGTAATATGGCCAAAAATAAAAACAGTTATTTGGCCATCTTTGATCTGATTATGAAACACTCTGATATGTATGATGTGCCAAATACGAATGAAAATGGTACAAAAATTTTGGAAATATAGTAGTAAGACCAAAAAGTCAGATGGCTGTCAATCGGCCATCCTTGACCAGATTTTGAAACAAATTGTCATGGACATGCATCCTAACATGTATAAAGTACATGTACATGTATGTGCCAAATTTGAATGAAAACTGACAAAGCACTTCCAAGATACTGCATAAAAAAAAAAAAAAAAGATGCCTGCCAGTCGACCATCTTTGATCCAATTGCGAAATAAATTGTCATGGACATGTAACCTAACATGTATAAACTACATGTATGTACCAAGTTTGAATGACAACTGACAAAGCATGTCCAAAATACAACACTTTCAAAAAACAAGATGGCTGCCAGTCAGCCATCTTTGATCCAATTGTGAAATAAATCGTCGTGGACATGTATCCTAACATGTATAATCTATGTACCAAATTTGAATGAAAACTGACAAAGCATGTCCAAAATACAACATTTTCAAAAAACAAGATGGCTGCCAGTCGGCCATTTTGAATCGAATCGCTAAACCACTGCATGTGCATATGTCCCAGATAAAGTACCAGGCACATGCAAAGAATGAACGGAATCGGTCCAAGCGATTCTGAGATATGACTCTGGACGGACGCACGAACGCACAGACGGAGACCGAATTATAAGTCCCTGTTTTCAAACTTCGTCCGAACGGGGACTAATAAGACATTTTTTAATAGAACATTTGAGAAATAACTTACTACAGTCTACTTCATCACTTTCGTCTCCACAGTCATCATCGCCATCACAGGTCCATTCATCGGGAATGCATGTACATTCTCCCCTGGTGATGACAGCGCATGCAAACTGATTTCTTGCACATTTACATTCTCTCCCTAGTGCTAGGCAACCTGTGAAGACAAAGAAAAGGGTAAAATTGATCGATGAATACCAATACCATCATGACACAAAAGGACAACACCTGATCTTCATTCAGATAAATCTCAAGTTGTAAAGTTGAAAACAAAATGAGTTGAATAAATCACTGTAGGCTGGGTACACATGTACATCAGGCAAAAGCTCTGAACCAAGAATGAACTCTGTGGGTGTGTTTTGGGTACCAGTATAGGTATACGCAAGCAGGGATTTTTTATTTTATTTTATTTTTCCAGTGAGGTGTACTCATTGGGTTTTTGTGAGAACATAGTATAGATGTGAAAATGAAAACTGAGTTAGTTGTATTTGGGAAATATTTTCTGAAAACTATATAGAAGGAAGTGAATGAATGACCATGATTAATTTGCAGAAGTTTGAGCTCCTTTGCATAAAATAAACACAATTTATTTTCAGTGGCTGCAATGTCATCTTTTGTTTGAACAACTGGTGGCAACCAGTCATTTGGCAAAATAAGGCAACTCAGTTCTTGTGTGGGAGTAACAATAGATACAGAGTCCATTATTTTAAAGGCAGTTCCAATGTTTGGTTAAATAGTCATATGACTTACAAAGTAAACAACATATTTACATGTATATGTGAGTTGACATCAGCCATTTGAACTTGAAAGTTAATTTTATTCACAATATAAACTCTCTTCATTTTTCTTGTATTCTTTCCAAATCTTATGATCAGAATCTCTTTATTAACAAATAAATTATTGCAAATAAACTTGGTTGACGGAAATACTAAATGATTTTAGAACAAAAAATTGCTTTTTTAAAGCTATCTTATACTTTCAAGCAACTTCACAAATTAATTAACTTAGGAATCAGGTAACTGTTTATTAAAGATGAGATGTACTATTTGTCACAAATTGAAAAAAATCAGTATTATAAGTGTATTAGAAATTTCAAGTGCCTTATAAATACTGTATTAAACTACTTTTTCGCTTTTTATTTATTTTTGCTGAAGAGATGAATCAATGAAAATAACATTTTTACTGGTACTATATTTTACATTCACCTCATCAAAAATAAAATAAAAAGTGAAAATAAACTTCATACAGAAGACTGGGACAAAAACAGCCAATTTTTTAATAGTAAAACCTGAAAAATGATACAAATTTTGTCTGTTGGCTTCAAAATTAGGGTTCATTTCCAAAAATATTGAAGAATATAAGAAACTAGCGCAGAAAAATGTGGGCAAGGAAGCCTGGTGGTAAAAATGTTATAACAAATGAACATCATTTTTCATTGGCTACTGGGCTTAATAAAAAAAAAAAATATGGGAAATGGTAAACAGGTTTATTTTGTGAAAGGTCACAAAAGATGACTTTTCACTGCTATGTGATTGTATCTCATAAAAAATGAGGAACTACGGTATAGACAGATCTGTAATCCATGACTGACTAAAAAACAACATAACTGGAAATACATAGATCCGTACGTGCCATAGAATTGATTCTCAAACACAAACACATGAGTGAGCAGCATTATGTTAAATCGAACAATACGAGAGAGGAAAGCCAGAGTGTAAAAAACCAACAACATAGACCAGTGACTAAAGTGAGCTTAGCAGATACAGAGAATAAATGTCATCAATTGTGATGATTCACATCCATTCAGCATACTCCACATGAATGAATTCCACTAGAGCAGAAATGATTAGCTGTCAACAAGAAAAACAGTCCATTCCTTTCAGCGCTCACTGCTGATTGACAGCATACAACCCTAGCTTTAGGCAAGGGGGGGGGGGGTCAATGCTAAACCAGTTTCAGACAACAACTAAACAAGTCTGATCAGGGCACACAATAGCTTAAAAGTGCTGCCTTGGGGGGGGGTTTACAGGATCAAACTTAATGTAACTATTTTAAAGTATAGCTTTGTTTATTATACTTCCCATACCCATCCACATCACTACAATGTCTTGTAGGAATCAAAGATAGCTTTCAGCTGGGATTAAACCTTTCCGATGTTGTACAGATAAGTTTGGAGGCAGTAAATTGCAATAATGCATCTATAATTGACCATCTGGTTTTTTCAGGTTTGCCAAGGCCTGGGACCACTAAGTATTGTATACTACACAGAGGACACATCAAGACCATCACTTGTTCATCTCTGAAGCATTTTTTCCCAAATAAACATTGAGAATCAAGCAACCTTGAAATGCACATTTTTAAACTACCTCCATTTATTTTATCTCATTTTCTCACTACAGCAAGTTATGAAAGCTGATATCATTCAAACCCCTCTTCCCAGACACCCTATAATGCTGGACCATTCAAACCCCTCTCCCCAGACACCCTACAATGCTGGTAGCGTACATTTTTCTATTAAACAAGTAATTGTCAATCTGAATGCCATAGCATTATTCAGCATGCAGGCAATTACACATTTTCAAACTCCAGCAGCCAGCAATTATCCTATCAGACAGTCTCTGCCAGTGAACAGACTGCGCACATTGTGTAATCCATGCCACACATAATAATTAAAACCATTTGCATGCTTATTTCATTAATATAATTAGAATATAAATCTAAAATTACAAAATGTATTACAGTGGAGTTCTGCAGTACTTTCAATTCATATGTAAATGAAAAAAAAAACATGAATGAAAGTATCCTCCATAAAAAAAATATCATGCACAGTCTAAATAACTCAGGGATCACCACATTGTCTTAATACTTCATACATTACCGGTATACAGTTTTGTAAAATCAAACATTGGAACAATCCACTAACTATTTCTAAAACTATTGCTGTAAATCATACTACTGCCCTCACAGTCATGTTTTAAATATCAGAGATGTCCTAAAATAAAATGCTGTAACATTATAAAATAAGAATATTACCATTAGTGTTGACAAAAAGAATGTCAGTGCTTCTGGTACAACTTAGGCATTCTGTCATCTTTATAAATTTCAATGACAGTTGGGTCAAACTAACCAATCAACGAGCACACTGTGCAACAACGACATTTGAAAATGTTCCAATGTTATTTAATCGGCCAATAGAAACCTTTCATTTCAGTATACAATTGTGAAATTCATAAATATTTATAAAGATGAATGGAATGCCTTTGTTGAGCCGCAAGTAATATTACTTGTATACTTATGTTGATGTTTCTTTTTAATGTTTTTTTTTAGTTTGAAAAATAGTATATGGTTGCACATGCCGCTGAATAAATAACAGAACTTTTTTTCCTTTTCACAGCATTGTACTAAACGTAAGCGAAACACACTGTCAATATTACCGTTTGTTATTCTCTTTTACTATAATAGAGTTATAATGTCAGCCCAGAACCATATCTACTCCAAGATGTCAACATCAGAGACTTGTTTGTTTGAATTAAGTTTTCAAAGCTTTACAGCTGAATAAAACATGGGTACTTGATAGCAATGGAAAACTGTGATGAAGACCAGTACTGACGGCTAATCTTATAGAAAAAAAGACTGAGACAGGCACCCCAAACCAATTAGTCTCTCCTCCCTGTATTCATGCAGCCAGCAGGAGACTTCATTGTCGTGCCAGTCACTCACACACATTTCCCATCTCAGCAGACACAATGATGTTTTTGTGTGGTCAGTAGACAATTGGCGTCTGTCTTTTTACAGTGAAAAAGCACACATTATTTACTACTATGTTGCTTCAAGCAAATCTTTCCAGCACCTACATAGAACTTTATAAACATAGTACGTTTTTTGCTTAAAGACTAAGGTAAATAGGAGATCTGCAAAAAAAAAGTTTCTTCACATAATACCAAAAAAAACTATCTTTAAAAAAAATCAAATAATGAAATGTAAACACTTAATGAGTTTATGACAAAAGTTATATAACCTTTTCACAACCAGTTCCCACAAATTTACAAAATAATCCTGTTTATAGTCTGCACACTCCTTCAAAAGATTTGGACAAATTGAAACAAATTTTGTCTACTGGCTTCAAAATTAGGGTTCATTTCCAGAAATATTGCAGAATATCAGACAAAAGTAAAGAGTAATTTGGGCGAGAAATTCTAGTGGTGAAAAGAATAAAGGAGCAACCTTGTTGATTTCACTGAAGTCCCGGAGTGCCAGCTTAGAGTCATTTGCAACACTATGAGCCCCCAACAGATTTCTATTCTCTGTACAGACCCTAGTTGGTCAATATACAGTAATAATGCAGTATTTAACCATGTAAACATATATTGTCCCCCATATTCAGATCAATGAATCAATTTTAACGCATACATAGTCAATGGGCAGCATCATGTATCATATGGGTTCCATGCAATGAACACATCGCATTTAAAAATTAAATTTATTTGTTTGAAGAATATTTGACCATCTTTAACTGTAAAACCTGTGTCAATCAGGAACATGCCTATTTGCTTCACTTTTTCATAAACTTGCTTCATATGTGAATATCTTATTATTATGAAGTTGTACGTAGCCGATCAGATTCAATTCAAAACTCAAATTCAGGAAGAGATGATAGGTTTCTCGCATACTATACCATAGCTGCCTGTGTACCTCTAACTACATCACACCAAACACTTTTAATAATAATTTAATTTAACACTTTTAAACAGAAGCAATGTCGAGTTAGGCTCTCACTGATTGGTTGGACAAATTCCATCAGAGGAGAGCTCTCTGAACACAATTTGTGCAGATACTACCACTACTACTGTTGGTAGACTCTTATGCAATTCTATCTACATCTTGGTACAATCAGAATGAATAAACCAGGACAACTTGAATTGAATTTATGTGAAAATAAAAAAAATATTACTTTATAGTTAAAAAACAATGACATCACATATAGATTATTGCAGTCTTCATCAATATAATCACGTACACATGAAAACAAGGGAAGTGCACAAGTTGTCATAGTAACAAGCCTGGATTTGGCACACATGATGTGCTCCTGCACAATCTCCTAAGTTTAGATAGTAATGTATCTGCTTGTGATATACTGATCAAATGATTACATGTGTC